CAGAAGTATAATGAAGATGGACAACATCATTAGGAGCTTCTGCATGACTTCGAGCACTGTTTGTTCTTCCCCACCGTGAGAGACTGTCACTGGAGGCAGTCCACGTTAGCAGGGTGTGGGGAAAGGACTAGTTCCTCAAGTGATTTAAAGAGGGAAGAGTTGATCTCCTCCAATTTTGCTTAGGCCCTATCAATAGTCTCATGGTTGGGGTGAGGCCCCAATGTGCAAAGGACGAATTGGATCTGGGTAACATCAGATATAACGTTGATCAATGAAGCCAAGGCCTTGGATTGGTTGAGGTGGCGCATCCAGGTAACAGTTTCTTGGGTTTGATGTGGAAATGAAGGAGGAGGAGGAAGAGGACAGAGAGTGTGGGGTGGCAGTGACCATGGAGGAGGAGAAATATAGATTAGGGGTTATGTAAAATTTGAAGAGAAATGGAGGTAGGATACCAGAGCGATGAAGCCTATTTGCCACTGCAAAAGGAGTGGAACTTAATAAAGAAAAAAGAAAGATAACACCATAGAAGAAGATGCAGGAATGCTCCTGCATCTTCTCTTTCAATTAAACGCTAATATTGAATCTATAGGGAAAAGATGCAGAACTCCCAATGGTAAGGAAGCAGAGGAGAGGAGAAACAAACATGGAAGAAAAGCAGTGCGGAGTTTATATATAGACCGGTTCAATTGATAAAAACTGGTTTTCTTTATTTTTTTAACTGATTCATGGGTTCCAAATTTCCAAAATTTTAAAACTCGTTACATTAGGTATCATATCGCCAATGTATCATATCGCCGGACACATAACATTTGATGTACATATTAATCCAACTAGAATGTGGCATATGTCCAACTTGTTATGTGACTACCATTAACAGTAATAGTCTGCATTAATAGATATTGATTAAATCAGAAAATTTTTTAAAATACAGAGACTAGATTTGCAAAACAAATTAGTATACAAAGCAATTTGAATATTTTAAAATAATATAAAGACTAATCTAATATTTTAGTGTAAGAATAAGTATTTAAGAGAAATATGCATAAGATATGAGAGGTTGAATTACATTCAAACAAGATCATAAAGATATTAGAAAGGAATCACTAATTTTTTTTCCATTGGATTCTCAGGATGCATTAGGAAAGTAGTGATACCAGAAAATAACATCCTATTCACTGATAGCCATTTTCCCATCCACAGGACCAGAGACAGAAAGAGAATACGTACAAGGAGGCCAAAGAACATTTATTAACAAAAGGAATCTGAGATGTCGTTATTCATGATGATGAAGCTCCATTGGCATTCCTTTGCTGTGTGAACCACTTGCATACAGTTTCCAAGTCTGCGCCATCACCAGTTAAGAAAAGATGGTCTGGACCAATTTCCGCTGCATGAATTTGTCTTCTGGCAAAAGAACCTTCGGCCGAGTGCATTTGTGTTCTCGCAAAAGAACCTTTCCTCTCCATGAAAGAAGGAAACTCATACACAAACGAACACAGTTATACTCCCAAGAGCAGCAAAATATGCGGTGACTTTGCCATGATAAATGCCCTTAAAACCAACAATTCCATGTTCTTGTTTATGTGAGCACACTTTTGGCAGGCCTTCGTTGTGGATGATGATTGTCCACTCTTATGCAGTCTTGTCCACTGAAGGCGTGATCAAGTAATCAACCCAGTAGAGAGGGGAAGTGACAGGGTTGGTGCAGATCTCCGCCAACCAAAAAGGGTTAGAATCAGCCGAGCAAGAAACTCTGTTCCACCAGAACTCACTCGAAAGAATATATGGATTTGTAGCAGGAAACAGAAGTTGTTAGGGAATGGAACATAGTGATCTGTGTTGAGTAGAAAAACACAGAGCAGATCAGAAGGTGAAGGTGATGGCTTTTCTTTTTCTCTTTTGAAGATGACGAAAATTGAAAAGTTCAATTAATTTTTCTATTCAATGTTAAATGTCATGTTATCTTAATGATTTTAAACTAAAATGTATCTTGGTGAGAAAACAAAAATATGAAATGGGTCCCTTTTATTTTCGTCTAATCTTTAATCCGAAACAAAAAAAAAAAGTCATTCTAATCTTTTACTCAGAAGCAAAAATCACATCTTTGATTCATGGTTTGAAGAGAATGAACACACTGCATTACGTTTTTCTGTTGCCACTATTCATAAATGTCAATATCTTAGTTTGAAAATTAAGCAAATAAAAAGATTGATGAACAGTGTGTAACAAATGACAAAGCCAAAAACCATATTAGATAGGCTACAGCTTACTGGTAAATAAGTATTTCAATCTATATGCATATGGATTTGCGCTCACGGGATGTGTTTAAAAGAAAGTACATATATATATATGTATACAGATATATATTTCTGTTGCCACTATTCATAAATGTCAATATCTTAGTTTGAAAATTAAGCAAATAAAAATATTGATGAACAGTGCAACAAATGACAAAGCCAAAAATCATATTAGATAGGCTACAGCTTACTGGTAAATACGTATTTCAATCTATATGCATATGAATTTGCGCTCACGGGATGTGTTTGAAAGAAAGCACCTATATATATATATATGTATACAGAGATATATAGATATAGAGAGAGAGAGAAAGCAATCATTGATCTACTTTACCCCTACCATATAATGATAATGAGGATAAGAACTCAGTAACTGCCAACCAAAAGAGCATCTTTTTGGGGATTCACAAGTGAGAATCATACAAATCCAATCTCAACAGAGAATCAAATGGAAATCATAACTGAAACATAAGAAAGAAATGCCTGAAAATAGAAAAACCACATCAAGATTCTGCATTTATCAATTTCAAAAACCATTGTAATCCATAAAAGGCAAACAATGCTCCCTTGAATATCTGTATGTATAGTTTTTACATCGACCTAGATGGGTTTGGGTTTCAATTTTGGAACTCCATAAATTGGAGGAAAGAATAACCTGGGGAAAGTCACTGGTGCACATGGTCAATCATTTTAATCTTATGATACATGATAAGATTACAGAATCGATGTTTTAAAATTATATATGTATGGATACTACTGTTGGACTGACTTGGACATACAACGAAGAATCATCCACCACTTATGTTTTCATTCTCAGGATGCTTCAAATGTGCCTACCTTACAGATACATTCCTAAAACCACCATCTTGTCATTGAGGAAGAACTGGAGGAGCAATTGTGCGAGTATTGTATGATTTGCAATGGCTGCATTTCTGACCAATTATGTGAAAGTAAACTTCAGTTGTGTCATTGCAATCATTACAGAGGATCCAAACCTGCATTTCATCTCTTTCACTTAGCCTTCAAGTAAGTTATAGTTGCTATGATAGAACTCTTTAGATGATACTTGGATCCCATGTTGATCAGACAAATAATGATATTATGCTCACTTGACATAACGTCATGCATTT